GTATTAAGCGACGGACCCTCAACGGTTTCCGTTTTCCTAGTTATATTTAATTTATTTATTATATTTATTATATTAGTTATATTTATTATATTAGTTATATTTCTTATATTTATTATATCTATTATATTTATTATATCTTTATATGTAGTAACTTTTATATAAATAACGTTGGTATTTTCCATCGTTATAAGTTTAGTTCCTTCAGTTCGAATTAGTTTACCTTTAGTTCCTATTAGTTCTTATTCTTGTAATTATAAAGTTCTATAATAAAGTATAACTTTTTACACTATAAACGAACTCCCTATTTTAAGCGTGTCTTGTTTGATTGGATTTCAGTCATAGTTAAACGTACTTAATCTCCCTAACTGCAAATCATAGTTAATCTATTCAACATACAGAATCGGTTAACAACATACTAGTATTATTTTAAAAAAAAAAATCTTTAGATTTATTTTAAGTATTATTATTTAAATCTTATATTCTTACTTATTTAAGTATTTTTCAAAACCTATTTATTTACATTTAATAACCAATTATAATAAGGGTGCTGTCAGATATTACCTAATATTTTAGGAGGAGGGGGTAACTAAAGATCTTAGGTTATATACAATACTATATAAGGAATTATATATATAACATATCTTACCTAGAGGAGGGGGGTAAGCTTTTATATTAAAGTAATATTAGGTAATATCTGACAGTGCCCTAATAATATTAAATATATTATTTCAGTTTACTTTATTTATTTTTTCTAATACTAATTTATATTTTTTTTAATTATTTTAATATAATTTAATAGTAAAATATCTAATTATTTAGAATAAAGTAAAAATTATATATATTTATATATTTATATATATATTAAAAATATGATAACAACTAGATCTTACTAATCATAATCTGCAATTTACAATTGCAATTTTATGTTTTTTATATAGCTATAATTATACAACTATTTGAAAAACAGTTGAGATATTAATCTTAATATATATTATAAAAAAATAATTAATTGTATAAATTTTTTCTATTTTTTACATAGGGTTTTGTTTTTATCACATTTGCATTATGTCACACCTCTATAATATGTTACATATAAAAGTCAAAAATAACATTCTAAATCCTTTTTGATATATTAAGAAAACTTGTAAAATAGTTAAAAATATGCATAGTATAAGCAAGGTTTCTTATAGTATATAATAAGTGCATAAAGTTTCATGCCAGGATTTTTTAAAAAATGGAAAATCTTAATAAAGTCATGTGATAAAAATGATCGATATAATTAATATATAAAAATTACCAAAAAAGTGAGATATGACATATCACAAGTGCGAAAAAAAACATATTCCTTTTACATAATATCATTTAATAAAATTGCAATTTGCAAATTTATATTTATCTTTTTTATTTTAAATTTATAATAGTTTTTATTTTTTAATTATAAATATTTTTTACAAAACTTAAAACTTATTAATATATTATTTTAACTTTTTAAAATTTGTGTATAATTGTATTTTTAATTTTTTATGTATTTATATAAAATTAATTATATTTCAATAAAGTATTTAAATTAAACTAAAAAAAAATATTTGCAATATATTAAAAATTTTAATATTTATATATTTTAAAATTATAATATAGTTGATTTTCTATATAATTATATCCTTTGGAATCAAAAAAAAAATAGTGCAATTATAAAAATATTAATATATTTTTTTAATATTAAATATCTTTTAAAATACTAATAAAAAAAAACTTTTAAAATTAAATATTTTCTTAAACTTTTATTTAAAATTCCCTTTTTTGGAAAAATATAATATATATATAGTGTAATTAAAAAGAAAGTTTTTTTAATAAGTTTATTATAATTTAAACTAATATAAATATACTTATAAGAAAAAAATAAAAATTATAAAAAAAATTAATTTTTTAATAGTATTTTTCTTTTACTTATATTTTATTATTTAAATTTTATCTAATATTTAAATATATATAAAATAAATTATAATTTAACTTTATTAATAAAAACAAAGCAAATTTAACCAAATTTAAAAATTTAAAAACTAGTTTTTGCAATTATTTTATCATTCTATAATTCAATTTAGCTAATTTTTTTTTTAAATAATAATTATTAATAATTCTATAAAACAAAAAAGTTTATTACTAAATTTTAAGATAATAAAAAAATAAAAATATTAATTTTAATGTAAATCAATTATAGATTGTAAAAATAATATTCAAAATCCTATTAAAACTAATTACATTGTTTTATTTATTTATTTTAATATATATTTATAATTTCCATTCAAAACTTTTAATTTATATATATTATCTGTTATATTAAAATATCAAAATCTTGGATATAGTACAAAATTCCAAAACTCAAAATCCTGAAATTTAAAATCCTAAAATCTAAAATCCCAATAGATTCAAAATTCTAATAAGTACAAAATACTGAAAAATTAACTTATATTAAATTTTAATACTGCCCAACAGTTACTTTATAATACTAATTTAATTCTAATCAACTGAAGACTAACTAAAAACTAATGAAAATTCTTGCTAAAATTTCTGAACTACTCTGCTATATATATGCTGTTTTTCCATTTTCTAATTTATATTTATACATCTAATTACTTTAAATCTAATATATATAACAAAAATATATTATTAGAATTTTGATACATCAGGATTTTGATCTGTTATGATTTTATATCTATTAGGATTTTGAATCTGTCAGGATTTTGAATTTTAGGATTTTGGATAGCATCCAAAAATTTAATTATTTTATAATTTGAATATTTTGATAAATTAATTAAATAGTTAAACTAAGCTAAATAAATATTTTAGTAGTTATTTTAGTATTATAATTGGATGTATTACTAAAAAGTAGATATTATATATATATAATAATATACTGTAAATAATATTTTATTCATTTTCGTAATTTCAGAACTTTTTTTTTATATAAAATTTTTAACCTTTAATATAGTCTTATATTATAACATTTATTAATAAAAGTTTTTTTTTATTATAATAAATAATTAGCTCATTCAGATAATTTATACTATGTTCTCGGTTTTTGATAAAATTATTCTACCAGTTCTTTAATAAAAACTATATAAATTAACTAGTCGTGAAAGTGGTTGTGTAACAAATATATTTATTGTAAATGTGTGATGAAAATAATACAATTTTTTTTTATATTTTTTTTCAACTTTTAATTATGATACAAATATGCAATGATTGCCTTAAATTTTCGTGTATTAAACCCAAAATTTACAAATGTCTATGCCCAAGTAACCCCATCTGAATTTTTATGTGTTACGCATCTAAATTTTCTAACAAAGTATAATTTCCATTCTGTCCAAAGATCGACACTTGTACCAAATATGATAAATACACATATACCTAATGTTGCCGTTGCAGATTCAGCAACAGCTAAATGTGAAATTTTTGGTAAATTATCTATTGCGTAACTTGAACATATATTTTGTGCGTTTTTACTTTTCATTCCATTTTCGTAAATACAATTCAACCAATTTAGGATCCATGGTTGCGGAGGGTTGAAATTTTTTGGTGCTATTTTACCTATTTCAATTGTAACATAAGTCTAAAATATTTTAACGCGTCAGTAATTAGATACGTAACATGAATAATCTTTTATTATACTATAAAGAATACATACCCAATATATTACATAAGTGATAAGAAGGATTAAGGCTAACATTAGGGCGCGCCACTGAATCCTAATTGCTCTTACTATCTCTTGACCTGTGACATTTGTCATTAATCTTGATGAGTTTGAATTATCTTGTGACATTGTAGAATCATCATGATAATCTAGGGAACTCATAAATTGAGACTACAAAATGAAAAATATAAATTGTTAAGATATAGATATAATTGAAATTTATGATATAGTAATATTCTTTTACCTTTCCGACAAATAAAAAAGTACAAAAATGTATCAAAAATCCTGGAATAGCGAAAATCGCCAAAGGATACCAAAATAATGTGTTATCATAACCTGGTGAGACCAAACAAACGGCACCAAAACCAAATGAAATTTTCCCCATCGCAGATGGTAAAATTGTAAACGTGACCGACAAAGCTATCACAAATATGTGTGATATTAAATGATATTTTTGAACGATATTTGATCCCCATACAGTTTGAAAATGGAGATGCAAAATTAAAAGGAAACACCATAATATGAGAAGAAACGTTGAAAACACTACGACCATTCCTGTATATAATATATGATAAATAAATATTTATTATTTATTATTATTAATAAAGTAAGAATTATTTATAACATTACCTTGTACACCACATAAAGCATTATTTCTCATAGTTGCTTGAGTTATTAAATCGGCACATTGAATTTTTCTTATATCACCCATATAAAAGAAAGTCACACTGGTAAAGATTAAAAGACTTATATTAAAACAGAGAACAGTTATAGCAGGATGTTCTCGTTTATTAGGTAATACAATATAACTGACGACTATAATTAATACGCAAATAAAAGATATTGCTCTAACTACGCTTAATGCGTAAAATATCAAATCAATTTGATTTTCTTTATAAAAGTTATTCGCTATAGGACATGATAAACAACAACCATTTTGACAAAATGAAGTACTCGTTTCTGATAATCCCGTTGATTTCAATGATACTAACGGATATGGGCATTCTCCGTTAATTGATAGTGGACTCTCTATAATTGAACTTTTAGCTTGATAATCAATAGCTATTACAGGGACACTTGCAAAAATTACAAGTATGATCGAAAACAAGAAAAATGTAAAAGATGTAAAAGAAAGTCGTCCGTTCATTTTATATTCATTAACGAAGAATGTAGATTATTGTATGTAACAAATGTCGTAAATATGAAAAATTTTGATTATGGGTTATAGCGATAAAAAAAAGAAAGAATGAAAATCTTTAAAGTCGTCAGAAAAAAAGTACCAGACCCTGAGAGAGATAAAATGAAGACTTTTTATATGGATAAACCAAGAGTAAAATCTAATAATAGAACACATAATTAATTCAAAATCTGCAAGTTGTAAAAGATTTACAATGCATCATGAATATCTTAATATGCAAGTATTATATCGTAATAGAAGCTCTTTTCTATTTTCTCTAATCCGTTTGTTTTGTACTTGATCTTGAAGTAAAAACGTTCACTTATTTTAATTTGTTTATAAAACAAAAATAATGAAAATATCGTATTTACGCAATTCTAAAAAAAACCGAAGAAAATGATTTTTTTTTTACTTTTTTACGGTCTACACGAAACTTTATTGTAGATCCTAATTAAACTATTGTGATTTTCACGTCTAAATTAACAAATCAGTGGGCTGGATTCTGTATTACATTATTAAATGATCCCATTAAAATTTATGATTGTCTGATCCACCCACTCCAAAAAAAGGTAATCTCCCGAGATATTTGAAATTAGATCTGAATTCTAAAAATCATCATTTCCGGATTCTCACGATCAGATTATTTTTTGTACCTGTACATACAACAGTATATTACTAAGCGATTAATTAATTAATTAATTAATTAAATAATCGTTATATAAATCGCTTGATTAAAATCGTTAATTTATATAAATATTCTATGTTTCATAAAATAAAAAGGAATTTAATTTTTTGGCAAGAAGGCAGAAATTCTCTGACTAAAAAAGGTGATAAATTACCGTAAGATCATACAGATACATAATCACATGAGAACGGTCTAACTAAAAATTTCTATTGTAAATCAAGATTAGGTAATAATTAAATTGAGAAAACAAGTGAGAAAATTCTTTAATTATCGTCATACAACCAATCAAACATTTTTTGCAAGAATCATTTGCAAATAAAGAAATAAAGTTATTTCATATAAGTAATTCATTAACCTTCTGAATTAACCTTTAAAAATGAAGAAAATCTTAAACACATTAGAATTCTATGAAGATCTTGGGAAATTACAATTGGTTACGTATTATTATAATAATTATATTCGTATTAAATCAAAGCAAAAATCAAAGTACATAATCCAATACTTTGAACTTTATATTGTAGTATTTTGCTTCATATGGACTATCGCAACTATAAAGGCACCAGAAATTTTTGTTTAATTAGTTTGTATATTATTTTTACAAAGTAGTAGTTCATTTCAATTAGTTTGTATATTACCTTTACAAAGTAGTAGTTCATTTCGTAGGTTGCAATTGTCATATACGATCCTATAAAATTATTGGTCTATAACTCAATAAATAAACTCTGAATGAAAAAATTGCAATGTTCCATGTTCAATCCGATGATCCGCATTTCGGAAACTTAAATACGCATTTAGAAGAAATATTTTCCGGACAGAATCTAGTAAAAAAATAAATTAACAGCGAATTGAATATTTCATACTCATTATTAAAGATACAGTCTTGGGATTTCATTAGTTATTGATTAAATGCATGCATTGTATTACCCAAAATATGCTCATCCGTGGATTGTCGACTACTTGTCTATTGTGAAAAGTTACGGTGCATGCAAAGACATTACCATAAATTCAAAAATAATAATTGAATCCCCATAATTTCTGACAAATCGCGTCATTTAATTTAAATATTACCCAGTTTGATTGTTTGTCTAACGTCAACTATTTCTTATATGCGCAGCTCCTTTGGTTGGATTTAGATTTAGTAATTAACCGGTTCTTCCTTAGAGGGATCTGCGTAACACATCCAAGCCACAAAAAATATCGACCATTAACTATTTTTCATTACTCTTTCTTGCTTTTTTTTTAAATATTTTGAGAGTTGAAGAAATTTAATAGATATTTTATAATTTCCCATCAACTTTAAAACCTTCAATTTTTGATTCTACAGTGTACAAGTTTTAAAGTTGATGGCCTCGCCAAGAGTATCGTCGGCTTCAACAGGAAGAGATTCACCAAACCCAACAACATTTAATGAACCTTTTCAATTTGATGAGCATAAACTTGCATCCTACGCTGCTAATCCTGAAAAACAGGAATTATATGTTTTTAATTGGTTGGCTAATTTAGAAAGGGAGATTAAAAAAATCGATAAAGTAATTGATTTAACTTTTTTTTGTTTGCAATCAAAATTCCTCTCTTAACTAAACTAAATTTTTTTTTTTTTTATTTTCGATTTCATCAAGGATACAATAAAACAATGTCAGACAAATCTTGAGAAACAATTATTAAAATTTATATCATCAATAACACCAAAACCACAGAGACCGATTAGACAACTTATAGCAAGAATTTTTGTTATTATTTATATTAAAGGTGATTCTAGAACTTTATTTGATACTATCACAGCACTTCAAAGTTTAGTTGGTGTAGGTAAAAATGTTGGAGAAAAAGAGACTAAATTGTGAGTATTTCATCAACTATTATATATATATATATTTTTTACATTTTTTTTATATTGATTGGGACTTCAAATTCTTATTTAGAGCCGCATTACATTGTATTGGTATAATTTTAAAATCTTTAGGAGATAAGATATTATCACTTGTTCCTGAAACTGTTAATATTTGTTTGAAAACAATCAAGAATTCATCCAATGTAATGTAATTGTTTTTATTCAGTAGAAATTTGGTTTACAACTTATCGATTATCTAACCCCCTTTAATTTCATTATTAGGCATTGATTGTTAGATTGGAAGCTATTTATACAATAAATAGATCGCTTGAAGGAGCAAGTAAAGGAGTAACAGAATCTATAGTAAAAGACATTATGAAACAAATGAGATCAGGATTAAATGACAAAGCATTGATCATTAAAGTAGCTTCAGTTCAGGTATATGTAATACACAAATCAATAATATAGAATCCTTGGAGTTATACATTGACTTTTAATTGTAAATGAAATTATTTTTTTAACTTTACTTACCATTTCTCATCTTTATTAATTATATAATATAACAGTGTATGCATGCTATAGCAAAGTATACACATCAACAATATCCAATTACGTCTAATGAATTAGATAACTTACTTAATCAAATGGTTAAATTACTTGACGGATCTAATCAAACAATTCGTCGTTCAGTTTCATCATATATTGCAACATTATTAGCGGGAACACAAAGTGAAGCAGATTTTTTAGCAATATCTTCAACTACTTCATCAAAGAAAAAATCATCCACTTTACCATCGCAAATATCAGGTGATGATGGTCTACAGCAATCAGATTCTTCATCTTCAACAAAAGTAATATTATCAGTAGAAGAAATGTTAACTAATTTATCAACAATTTATAATAAACAATCAACATCAAGAGAAGTTAGAGCAGCAATAATAGAAACATATTCAGCATTATTCTTACAATTGGGTACAAAATACGTTGAATTAAATTATTCATTTATCGCACAACATTTATTAAAGGATCTTGTATCACACCCAAAAAATTCTTCATCACGGTATGAAGCACTTAATGTTCGGGAACATTGTGAATTATTATTACGTGATGTTATCGGTACTAGATTATTAAGTGAACAAGGACAAGTTACAGCAGTACGTGAATTGGCTAATGGATGGTTAAAACAATGGTCGGCAAATCAAGTTGAGCCATCAAAGTTATCACTTGTATGTGCAGCTAATGAAATATCAGGATTATTATTAGATTTAGGAGGAGCAGCAAGCACAGTATTTGATGTAGTCGCGGATCCATTGGTTACACTGCTGAGTCATTCAAGTTATTCGGTACAAATAGCAACAGCATGGTGTCTTAGATGTTTATGTTATTCATTACCAATAAAATTATCGGGATTAATTACGAAAGTACATGGATTGTTAAGTAAAGATCTGAATAATTTATCAAATCAAGTGACGTCGAGTGAATTACCGAAAAGGACACTTGGATATGCTTATGGATTAGCAGCATTATTAAGTGTTATACCAAGTAGACCATTGGATGTATCATTTGAAGTGAGCGCAAGGATATTTTCATTATCAACTCAGTTAATTAAAACAAGTGCGAATAAAGATTTGTCAGTTGCGAGCATACAAATACAAGTAGCATGGATACTCATCGGATCATTAATGTCATTAGGTCCTAATTTTGTTAAATTACATTTACCACAATTATTAATATTATGGAAGATGGCTTTACCTAAACCAAATAGTAATAAAGAGTCAGTATCAAATAGAAGTGAAACTGAATGGTCATTCATGTTTCATGTTAGAGAATGCGTATTAGGTGCTATGTTAAGTTTCTTATTACATAATTCTAAATTAGTTACATCAGATGTATCAAAAAGATTAGTAGCTTTATTAAATAATGCATTAACGTTCACTTTATTGGTTCCAAGTTCATTTCCAAATAATCCTACACCAAATTCATCATCAATTTCAATTGCACCACAATTGCCATTTTCATCGTTAAAATTCTCGGATAGGGAAAATATGCTAAAACGAAGGATATTTCAATGTTTTGTAGTCATAAGGCCAATCAGCACTTATGATAATTTAAGCACACAATTATTGAAATTAAGTGTATCACAATTTGCGGATCCTGAAAAGAATGTTGGAAGTGCGATTACAGCAGCAATCGCTGCAGCAGTTTCTGGTAGTTTTACAAGTGTATGGACAACAGGAGATGAATATGCTTACGGTGTTACAAGCAGATTACAGGGAATGAATATTGATATCGCCAATCTGGTAGATAATGATGATGAAGAAGGAAATGGCAGAAAAGTAGGAGTAAGAGATTGGTTAAATAGGGATTTAGTTGAAAGTAGAGTTGAAAACCAATTAGAACAACCAATTATAGGAGCACCTGAATATGATTCATTAATGATTTATACAACTTATTGGTTATCATCATCAAATAATAATAATAGTAACAACAACAATAATAAAATGCCAAAACCAGTACCAGCAGCAACTGCATTAGTAGATTATAGTTTAGAATTATTCGGATTAGTATTCCCGGCACAGAGTGCTCAAGTACAAGAAGTTATTTTGGATCAATTAATTAAATCAACAAAACATCCTAGATTAGAGAAAAGTCCAGGAAGAAAGATGGCAGTACAAGTTAATATGGTAATTGGATTATTGGCAATATTTAAGAATATAATGAATAAAAATTATAGTAATAGAAATAATAATGGTATTGCAGACAAGAGAATTGGAGGTATTGCAATGGACATGTTACAAGAAGCCATTATACATCCTGATCCATACTTGAGAAATGCGGCGAGCGAAGCATTAGGAAGATTACTAAGCATCGTTGGAGGTAATCTGGTAACTACACAAATGCAATTATTGGTTGATCAAGTAGTTAATAATAGGGAACCTGACACTAGAGCAGGTAGTGCGTTGGCACTTGGATGTATTTATAGTCATGTAGGAGGAATGGCGGCTGGTAGTCACCTCAAAACGTTAGTTGGTATATTATTATCATTGAGCAGTGATCCTCACCCGGTGGTACATTTTTGGGCATTATATGCATTAGCAAAAGTAATTGAATCAGCTGGATTAATGTTTTCTCAATATGTCAGTAGTACTTTGGGTATTATTGCTAAATTATATATGGCAGATACTCATGAACCAGGTGGTGGTAGTGTCGGGACAACAAATGTTGGGTTGGGATTTTCCGCTTATCAACAATTTGGTAAAATTATATATGGATTGATTGGTACATTGGGTCCAGAACTACAATCAAGCGCTAAAGTAAGAAATCTGTGTTTAAATTTGATGATTGAATTGAGAAATGATGAAGAACAAATGGTTGTGGTAGAATCAATTAGATGTTTACAACATTTTATTATGTTTGCTCAACAATTTGTTGATTTACCTAGATTGGTGGCATTTTTACAATTTCAATTAAGTAGTAAACATTTACCATTAAAAGAAGTTGCGGTTACTTGTTTATATCAATTAGTACAAAAAAATGCTAAACATGTATTTGAAGTTGCAGTACCTGGATTAGATAATCAATTATTTAGCTTATTGGATACTGATCCAACTATTGATGGTGTTAAAGATATAGTAAAGAGTTGGTTAAATCAAACAGCAATTGATAATCCTTCTCTCTGGGTTGAATTATGCAGAAAAGTAATGTCAAAAACTGGTAGCGTTGCAAGTGCAGGTGCTCCAATCGAACCTCCTTCTTTAGATATATCTGGTAATGATGATTTAGATGGAATTGGTAATGAAAATGACTTAGATGAAGGCGGTGATGAAGTCAAAGGTTTTGAAGTTAAGGTAGAAAAAGGAAAAACCAACACCTTCCAAGTTCGTAATAGAGAATTAGAAAAGAATACTAAATTAATTCAAGATTCTGTACAAATTCCACCAAGATGGCGTACTCAATTATTTGCTTTACAATGCTTACGTCAAGTTGTTGAAGTTATTAGTAGTTCTGGTGATAAAGATCATTTTGATTTAGTTATTGCGAAGAAAAAAGGAGCCACTGGAAAAGATTACTTAGTATTAAGAGTACAAGAATTAATTAAAATGGCTTTTATTGCTAGTACTGCTGTTGTTAGTGAAATGAGATTAGAAGGATTAACTGTATTAAGAGACGTAATTGAGGTAATTATTTAAGGATGGGTTAGGGTTAATGTGTTACACTATCTATGTTTCATTTTTACCACTTATTCTGGGACATTATATAACACACCCTATAAAACATACGCTTTATTTATTTTTTCTTTATTTATTTATTATATTTTTTATTTTATTTATTTTTTTTAAAAAAAAGAAATTTGCCGCAACACCTGATCCAGACTTTGAAGAAGCTGCTCTTTTAGAACAATATCAGGTTAGGACTTACTTTATAAAAAAATTGCTCATTTATGTGTGCTAACAAGAGATTTCTTTATAATAGGCACAAATAGGAGCAGCACTTACACCAGCTTTCACGGCAGAATCTTCACCTGAAATTCTATCAGCTGCTGTAAAAGTATGTGCTGTATTTGTTGGTAGCGGTATAGTAAAAGAATTATATCGTATGGGTCGTATACTGAAATTATTAACTACTGCCTTAGAAAATTGTAAAGGTAACTATAAATATTATATATTTGGCGAGATCTATTATTATTAATTAACTACTAAATTTTTTTTCATGTTAGATAATGTTAGTGTTACAACCGTTGGTGACGTTAAAGATTTGAGTCCTCATGCCGCCATAATGATTAAATTATCTGTATTAAATGCATGGGCTGAATTACAAGTTTCTAGTATTAAACAATCTTATTTAATACAAGTTATTGAACCGTATCCTTTCTTACATTAATGATTACATAACAAATTTGTTCAATATCAAGTTTTCCTTAATTAATAATAATTTTTTTTAATAGTAACTTGTCGTTGTTGTGTCCATTATGGGTATCAGCATTAAAAGAATATGCTCGAGTACAAGTTGAGCCTGATGTAGCTGAGGCACAAACTAATATTATTGGAAATGGAAAAATTGGAGGAAGCGGGGGGAATTTTGGTGGTGGTTCTGCACAAACTGAAGTTTTTGATTCTATGTACAGTGGATTAACAAGGGAAGTTATTCTTCCGGTATGTATATTCAAGCTTGAGTTTATAAGCGTTTTTTATTATGTATTCATATAAATTTTTTTTTGGGCGTGATGGGGGTGTAGTATTATAATATGTCTTGGTTGACAATATTAGGAGCAGTTGCTAGTTTATTGGAAAGCGGAAATCCATTAATTATTAGCGCATTAAATGGGAGCGACTCTTCATCTACGTCAAGTGGTGATGTTAATGAAGAAGAATTCACAGATTTCGAGAATGAGAAGGAAAATGAATCATTTGATGATTTCACAGATTTCACTACTGCAACGGAAACTTCAACAAAAAAAGAGGCAGTAAAAGATTTTTTTATATTATTTGGTCTTTGTGTAGAAGCATTATCAAAAACATTTGGAGGTAGTAATAGATCAAGTGGATTAGGTGTCAATTCAAGTGTAAATAATCCTAATAATACAAATGAAAATGATAAAGTTGTTAAAACTTGTATTAATGCTTTAAAAGCATTCCTTAGACCAAGTGTAGCTGGAACCGTATTTTTAGAGAAAGAAATGGTTATTGAATTAATTAATTTATTTGATAGATTAATTCTAACTGAAGGATTTGAAGTACAATATGATATTATACAAATCGTTGCTAATATTATTAATGATTATGGTAGTACTTATCTTTGTGAAGATTTATTATCGACGGAAGAAGAGAGGTATTTTTATTCTTTTTTTTTTTTTAAAAAAAAAAAATTATTTATCAAATTTAACTTATTTAATTTACTTTATAGTGCAACGATTAGTGGAAATTCAGATGATACTGTTACAAATGATGAAACTGATGACAAATCACGAACAGTAGTATTTTATATTTTAAGATTAATTGTTAATATATTTTTCCAAAAAGTCCCATCCCTTTCTACAAGACCCGCATCTCTAAGAATATTTAGACCTCCTCAAGGTATTGATCAAAATATGTCTTTTTACTAGTATTAAATAGAGGTTAATATAAGGAATGACTAAATAATAATTGTTTTTTTTTTCTTTTCTCTTTTATAGGTAATGCTAGAGGGCAAACTTCTCAGCAAATTAGTACAATATTAAAAGCTTCAATAGAAGCCTTTACTTCACTTATTATTGTTGCACCAATTAAATATAAAAATGATTTTATCGCGATAGCATTTTATATATTTATATGTAAGTATTCATGTATATACATGTATGTATATGTCTGTTTGTATATATTATCTAAATTCTTTTATTTCAAAATATAGCTATAATTCAAGATTCACAATTTCAACAAAATGATATAATACAAAATATATTATATAACGTAAAATTATTATGTGATGGAGGGAATTTAGAAAAATCATTTAGAGAAGAAAAAGATGTTAATAATTTTTCTAAAATAATTCATTCTTCTATTTGGTCTATTTTAACTAAAATTAATTCTCTGCTTGTCAGGTATGTTTAATTTTTTTTTAACTTTGATTGAATACATAATATTTAATCTTTTTTTTTTTTTCTTTTCGTTATAGTGAAAAAGTAGTATATAAGGAAGAAGAAGTATCAACAATAAAAAATTGTTTATTGGCTATCACATTATTATTCACTTTTAATCCTAAATCATGTTTAAGATCTAAGGAATTACAAGATAGATCAATTGAAATGTTAAAAAAAGGATTTCAATCTAATGATGCTACGGTAAGTGTAATTACTATAAGCAATTATAAGGGAGCATTAATTCAAAAAAAAAAAAGCTCAATTGGTTAAATCACTTGATTTAGGTCTCCGTAACTTCATTACAATGTATTCGTACCTTAATATTACTTTCAACGAAATCGACAAATGACTTGATCAATACAACAGAAAGTACTACAACATCAGCTTCAATGGAAATTAGTAATAATTTTATTAAAGCTTTAATACCACAACTAGTTATTTATTTACAAAATATTAAAGAATCAGGATTAGAACAAAATGATGATAAATCAAATATTGTCGAAGAAATTATTAAAACTTTATTAACGATAAATACAGTTGCTAATGAATCTCAAAGTAAGTACATTTTCAAAAAAAGAATATATAATTTTTTGTTATAAAAATGATGAAATTAATTACATATTTTCTCTTAATTAAAAAGAATCATTGGTTATAGCGGTTATATTACCGACATTAATTAATCTTTTAGAAAATCCCCCATTGGAATCATATTATCAACTTCCACAATTACATACAATTTCAGTTAAACATATTCTTTCATTAGCAACAAGTCAACCATTAAATTTTAAAGAAGCGATAGGATTATTATCACCTCAACTTAAAACAAAATTAGAGAGTGCTATAAGATTTAATGTATTACAAGAACAAGCTACTCAACAACGTTTACAACAAGAAAGGGAAAGAAAAGTTAATGAACAATTAGAATTAAGTAAAGGACCTAGTATAGTTTTGAAGAATGATTTTTCTGATTTTTCTGGATTTTCTTAGAATGAAATTAAGTAATATGGTTAATAGTCGATATAGAGATTAGATAATTTATTAGATTTAAAATATTAATTAAATTAATTAATTTATATAAATAATATTTATTTTTCAACATATATATGAACAATATTTGAATGATATCATCTGCAGAGTGATGATCGATGCTGATCGTACTATTTTCTAATTATAATCTGTATTCTATTTTAAGATATTAGGTAAAAAGTTCACACGACTAATTAGGCAGCATTAATAAAAAGTAATAAATGATTCCATATTTATTTAACAGCAGGTGCAGTGGCAACTGTAATCACGTAAGTACCCTGAATTTTAGCCCGAGTATTTGCTGTATTTGCTGGTATGACAACAAGGCAACGATAAATTTTAAAAAAAAATCGAATCATTTGAGCAACGGGTTCACATGAATGTGAAAAAGATTCGGAAAGTTTATGTATGGTTCGATTCAACAAATGCCAAGACAATGGAGTGTAACATGTTCACGAAAAGATATTATTTTTGAGATTCGGGTAATATTAAATTACACAAAGAGAGAGATAACAACATTAAAATAAACAGAACAGACCTGTCACAACAGTATTATTATTTGAATACAAGAATTAAACTGTCATAATTATTATACTGTATAAAATTGACTGGTATAAAATTGACTGGTATATATTGTATAACAATTGCTTTTTGAGTTGAACGTTCTTTGAATAGGAATGAAAAAGCGAGCTCAATAAAACTAATACAATAAAAAAAAATTGTTATTTTTGCAATCAATATATTATTACTTTTATGTACAACATTTTACGATAAATGGTATTTTTTTTTTTTATTATTTTTCTTTGAAATAATAACTTTGAGATAAGTGTAACATGTCAAGATATTGCATGAAAATGCATGAATGAATGGATATTGCATATATTACGTAATAAACACATATATATATATAAATAATATATTTCTATTATACATATATATATATTATATATATTTCTTTTCACGATAAGGTTAATTCCGGTTTTACCGCAACATTACTGCAACATTCCACATAAATGAAAATAAAAAAGAATAATTTTTTCTAATTCTCTTGTTTTATAAGAAACCGAACTTTGGCGGTATTTACACAAAAGGACAAATGTTACACACTGACTTCAAAAAATTCAAATGTAAAAAAAAATATTATTTTATTTAACGATTATATTCTCAATCAATATTATTAATTAATAAAATAGATAAGTATTTTCTAGAATTCTAATACAAAAAATTAAAGAGAAAAAAAAAAAAAGAAAAGAAAATGTACATTTGTTACAAATAATTTGTTATTTTAGGGACAATTAAAAGGTTTAAGTCCGTCGGGTGACTTAGGATCGGAGCTTACTGGAAAAGTATCCGATTGATTAATTTCCGGTGATGATGGTGGACAATTATGGCCTTGACGTTTTTGCACAGGTACTGGAATTGCTATAACAGCAATTATGAAAGCGAACAAAATGAATACTTTGAAGATTTGTTGCATTTTTGATTCGTCTCGTTTCTTTATCTTTTTTTTTTTGAAAAGAAAAAAATTTTTAATGTCAATATACTTGAAAACTGAGGAAATTTTTTTTAAAAAAATAAATTTTTTAAAAAACAGTTGTAACAAAAGAATTTTTTTTTTTAAAAAAAAAAAAAATCAGATTCAAAGGATTTGAAAAACTTACGTATAACTAAAAATGTTTATCACTAAATACTAGTATTTCGTATTTCGTATTTTTAATTTTTAATTATTTTTCGTTTTTGTTTTCGTTAAATTATTAATTTCGTTTTTTATTTTTTTATTTATTATTTTTTGTTGTTGTTGTTATTTTGAAAAAAAAGTTCTTTAGGTTGTAAAGAACTGTAGAGAAAAAATCAAAAGGTCAACTTTGAACACATTTATATACAAAAAAATTTCTTCAAAAAAATTTCGATCTATTTCGATCTAAAAAAAATTAAATTTATAATTAGATATTAATTAAAGTTTACTTTTTTTAAAAAAAAAAAAAAAAAAAAAATGCGGCATATGTAATACACATTTTTGTATATTTTCAATAAAAAAAACTCGGCTTTTAAAAAAAGGTTGAGGCTTTTGGGCTGGTCAAAGAATAATTTAAAAATATGATAATGCATTTTTTCTTTCTTATCATTCTTTTTGTGTAAACCATTAATGAAAAAAAAAAAAATTAAAAAAAGTTCATTGTATAACCGCATAACATTATTCATGCGGCATTGTGACCAATAAAAAAAAACATAGTAATAAACGAGATTGATTGTTTTATGCGCGAATATTTATATATAGTTTTTTTTTAAATTCGATTAATTCGATTGGAAGGTAATTTGGAAGTTGGAATTTTTGAAAAATGAAATTCACAAGCTGAAAGCTTCAGTTTCTTTTTAAAATTATATTTGCGGTTGTTCGATAATTTAATAATTGTAATTAATAATTGGGATATTTATATGTTGCACAAACAAAGTGAAAATCAATCGTGGCTTGTCCACAGCAATTACTTAAAATAAGCAAAGCAATAAAAATAAAAATAAAAATATTTATTTGACGTTGATTTAAAAATAAATTAATAACAATATTTTTCTATACATGGAATAAAAAGTAAAAAAAGTAAAAAGTAAAAAAGTAAAAAAATAAATAAATAAATAAATAATACTTATAATTACTTATGAACAACCGTATACTTTAACATCTTGTCCTTCTGATGTTGTAGGGACGTTATCATCCAATGCGGATTCACTGCATGGATCAGCACTACTTTGACTATTTTGATTACTTTGACCACTTTGATCGCCTTGATCAGTTGGTTCAGTTGGTTCAGTTGTTTCAGTTGCTTCCTGACGTTTTTGAATAGGTACCGGAGTTGCCATTACAGCAACAATGAAAACGAGCATCACAAAAAATACTTTGAAAATTTGTTTCATTTTGATTTTCTAAACACGTCCAACAAAAAAAAAAGAAAGTTATCACATTAAATGTATACCGATAAAGCGTCTAACAATAATATTAAATTTTAAACTTACATATATTATTATTTATGCGCGATATTTTTTTTTTCAAATTTTTCAAATTTCAATGTTTTTATTATTTGTATTAAAAGTCTTCAGACTTATAATGAAAACTTGGTCGATTTGAGATCGTTTATATACGAAATTTTCGTTTTATTATTTTTATTATTTTTATAATTAAATTACAATTAAATTATTTTATTTTATTTTATTTCTTTTGAATAAAATAAGTGTAACATGGGGAGAAAAGTTCAATGGCTTCCCTTGAAAAAAAGCTTAGGTTGGCTTAGAGCAAATGGCTTGCATCTTTATGTAAACAAATGAAAGAAAAATCAAAAAGGTGTAATGGGTGTATGACCTATATGTTATTTCATATTTCATGTGACAAGTGACTTTTCTTAATAATTTTATTATTTATTAAGTATTGTTAGATATTATTTGAATATTATTAATATTACGTATTGTACGGTTTTTCCTTTGGTTGCTTTTTATTAAGGTTAAATGTTACACATTGTTACACGCAGAAAATTATGCCACATAAGAATGTGGCTTGTCTTGTCCACAGAATTATTGACGCGATTTGAGAAAATATTTTTTAATTTATGAAATGTTTTCTCAAATAATAAAAGTAAAAAGTAAAAAAGAAGGAAATAAAGAAATAAAGTAAAAATAAAGATGAAGATGAAGATGAAATCATAAATGATTATGAATTTTTTCCTATAAATTCCTAATTTACATAGTAATTAATAATAGCAGAGTTTGCCATTACGACATGATTTTACTGGACATTTATCTGATAGTAAACTACCACAATTTCGTGGGTGACATGGGAAACATCTTTTTTGAATAGGTAATGCAATTACGGCAAAAATAAAAGCGAGAATAACAATAAATACTTTGAGGATTTGTTGCATTCTGTTACGTTTTTTTTCTATAAAAAAAGTAGAGTTAACAATTTTAATTTTTTAAAAATCCAAATGTGAAATATGTGAAATGTGAATTTGAAACTTACTAGAAAAATACGCGATATTTCGATATTTCGATGTTTCGATGTTTCGATTTTTGATGTTCAATGTTTTGATGTTTCGACGTTTTTGATGTTTTTGGTGTTTTGATTAATATTTTTTATTTATATTTATATTTTTTTTTCGAAAATAAATAAAGTCTTCAGACTATAATGAAAAATCAGTCGATTCGCGCTCGCTTATATATGAAATTTTTTTTTTAAAATATATATATATATATATATATATTTTTTCTCTTCATATTTTTTTCATTAAAAACATAAATAATACGTATAATTCCAAAAACTGGCTTTTAAGGTGTTATGACAAAAGCTTAGATTGGCTTAGAAAATCTTTCGAAAAGAACTAAAAAAAAGGGTTATCGCATGAATTGATCATTTCTTGTGGCGTATGTGGCGGTAATATTTTAATTAAAAAAAAAAAAATATGGTGATAAATTTTTTTTTTAAAAAAAAAATTCATTTAATAGAGATGATCTTTTTCGAAATTCCGGATATTTAAATACATTTCATTGTTCTGTATGTAGCTATTTTTGTTATATTAGATAATATCAGAATAATAGTGAGAATTTGAACTTTTTGAAATTCAATAAAATTCAATAAAATTCAAAAAAAATCAAATTATTTTTATCAAAAAGTTCCAAATGATTCTTTAGTATCACAGTAAATAATTGTTTTCTTTTTTAAACGTTACACAGAAAATTATGCCACAAAGTGTGGCTAAAATAATTTATTATTTGATACAATTCATATAATTCTAACAATATTAAAATAAGTTTTCCACAAAAAAAAACAAAAAAAAGAAAAAGAATATACATATACATATACATATATATATATAAATACAACTAGTACTGTACATATAATTACAAAAATATATTCAATCACGGACAATTGATTGGCTTAAGTTCTTTACCATCTGAAGATACTGGATAAGTATCTGATTCTGTACTTTCTGTTGGAGTTGTTGGACATTTAGGTGTTTTACCTTGACGTTTTTGAACAGGTACTGGAGTTGCTATTACAGCAATTATGAAAGCGAGCACAATAAATATTTTAAGAATTTGTTGCATTTTTTTTTTCGTCTAAAAATAAAAGGAAATAAGGAAATATTAGAATTAGTTTTTTTTAAAAAAATTGTCTAATATAAAAAAAGGGTACCTACTTATTATAAAGAAAAAATAGATTATTTGATATTCCGATATTCCGATATATGGATATTCCGAATAATTACGATATTATGATATTTACGGTTTATTATAGTATTATAATATTACGTTATTACGTTATTACGTTATTTTAAATTAATTAATTAATTATTTTTAAAATTAATTGTTTGTTATTTTTTTCGTAATTTCGGGGATTTTTTTTTTTGTTTTAAAAAAAAAAAGTCTTCAGACTATAATGAAAGACTTTGTCAAATTGAACTCATATATATACAAAAATTTTGATCTAAAATTAAAAATTTATAAATTTTAAAAAAAGTTAAAAAAAGTATTAAAAAAAGTATTTTTAAAAAAATGCCTAAAAAAAAAAAAAAAACCTTAATGCAGGTTTTTTTTTTTATGAATGATATCATTCCATCATTTCTTATCTTTTTTTGTGTAAATTTTAATGCAAAAACATTGTTAAAAAATGTTCAAAAAATCATTGTTCAATAGCTGTCAATCAATTCACTCATTTGGAAGTTTCTTACTAAAAATTGAATTTCTATGTTTCTCCATAGTTCATTTATATTTATTTCTATACGATTTCTTTTTGTACTTTTTATTTTAAAAAAAATATGTTACACATTAAAGTAAAAGTGTGGCTTTTATTTTTTTTTACGCCGGTCGGCAATTGACTGGCATAAGCTCATCGCCAGTTGAATATACTGGATAACTATCTGATTGTGAACTTTCTTTTGGAGGTGTTGGACATTTAGGTGTTTTACCTTGACGTTTTTGAATAGGTACTGGGGTTGCTATTACAGCAATAATGAAAGCGAGCACGATAAATACTTTGAGAATTTGTTGCATTTTGATATTTTTATATTATTACCGAGATCTTTTTTTGTCTAAAAAAAAATAAGAGGTCAACAAGTTATTATCAAATTAACGGTATTAATTATAAATGTAAATGTAAACTTACAGAAAAATATTACAATTAAAAGGTAAAAAGAATTTAAAATGGGGATTATTATTAATGTTATTATTATAATTATTTTTTTTGAAAGTCTTTTTTTTTTTTTTTTTT